ACAGTGCTAAACAGTGCTGTCCCTTTTTCTGCGCTCTGTGTACAAGTAAGCAAAAAGCAGACTGCATATATGAATATGCATGGAACTCCTCCCTGCCAGTTCTGACTCTGACATTCCTTGGCAGAGTGATCCTGAACAAGATCTACAACCTTGAGAAGGGCCCATTATTCATCTAGAGCTGGTAGGAACTACCTCACAAACACAGGGCTAGTAAGAATACTCATGGAGCACTCAGCACTCTGTGGGGTACACACACCTCTGCCAGGAGGCTCCACATCACCTTCAGAGCCTCCCTCCACATCTGTTTTCCACCTGTTGTTCAGCATTTCCTTCCCTGTGACATCCCATGACCCTCTGAGGGATAACTTATGTGCTGCTCTTTCCTTCTTCCCCTCCTCTCCTTCCCTCTCAAGAACCTTCCCAGGAAGCTCCTTTTATCACTCCCCTCCCCAAGACTCCTGTTGAGACACATCAACCACAACCCCAAGTGTGAACTGCACTTGGTTACAATGACACAGCTCCACACTGCAGGTGTCTAGTGCTGGATACAGCCATCTCTCCAACCCAGCCACTTATATGGTACTTGGCAGAAAAATTTGAATTATAATCGAGTTTTATAATTCAAAACACTCATGTGGGTTTCTACATGAGCAGAAATGCTATTAGAACACCAAGCTGGACTTGTTCCTGGAGCCCTCAGACTCTAGAACTTCCTATGTCCTTTATGTCACAGCAACAGAAAGGCTCCCAATTCCCCATCAACAGCTGCACTGCAGCTTACTCACTCTCTACCCCTGGTGCTGACATAACTAAGTGTCTCACTCACTTGTGGCCTGTGATCCCCTCACTTGGGTCTTCTGCTGTGATTCCACACCCAGAATTGCACCTGACACAAGCCTGACCAAGACCTGTTAAGGAGCTGGAGGGACCTGCAGACACCGCCAACTTCTGTGACTGCTCACAGTGCCCAGCCTCCTCTGCACATCCCCATCCCACCACCCTTTCTAAAGGAGGCCTCCCTGGGCAATCCCGCCCCAAATGCCTTTTTTCTCTTCTGAATGTCACCAATCCTTACCGCCTATGCTCTAGACTAGCAATTTCTTTTTAGGCTGCCTGGAACTAAGTTCTCTTTGCATACGGAGTTTTTACCTTCCTAGACTCACTACAGGTCTCCTTTAGAGGCTTCGATTATTCAGCACCTTTGAGCAAGGATTTCAAATACATGCAATTTCAAAATACCCGAGTGACTTCACAGTACCAAGGTTTTCCATTTGAGCTACTCTACAGACAAATGAAATATTTTCTTTTTAAGCTAATCTTAATTTAAGTGCTTTATAGTAACTAAAAGTCACTGTTGATACACTCAGGGCTATTTAAGGTTTTTATGAAGGGTTATATGACCCTTTTAAGTGATCTTAAGGAACTACACCTGAAAGCCCAATAGTGAAGAAGACAAGTTTATAACAAAACTAGCAATGAATTGTCTTTTTCACCATTAGGCCTATGAAGTACAAAACTTCTTGCACTATTAAAAACACTTCTTTCCTTCTAATTTGCTAGGAACAGTGAAGTCAGTAGATGAGAACTGGCCTCTAGGAGGGGAGGGTCAGCAAAGCCAGACTCCAGTTCCAGCATGGGGAAGACCATGGAGAAGAGACCTGGGACTTATGGTTCATAAATACTCACCGATTAAAGGAGTTGCAAACTGAGTAGTTTCTTGGCAAAAAGCATGCCAGCCACCCTGAGACATGGCATTTACAGTTACCAAGACCCCGCATGCTTCACAAAGTTCATTCCCTTCCACTATCTCGCAAGCCATTGAGGACAGCCTTGTGAGGTTAGATAGTGTAAGTAACATCACTATTCTGACATCCATTTTTAAGCCCTGGGGAGAACTGCACCACACCTAATAGAAATCTAGTGTCCACATTTCTATTTCCTTCCATCAAACCCATCTGTGGAAAGCCACTGTTGTTTCTTCCAGACAGAAGGACCTCTATCACGTACGGATCTCACACAGCCAAGCGAGAGCAGGCAACACACGCCACTGCACTTCAGAAGTGTGTGCACCAAGAGCCCTGGCTTGTTACTAACAGGCAAATTTAATCTCTCATTTCTTATAGTCATAAATAGGAGCAGGACAGAGATCAAGAAGATGACAGAAACTTGTAAATGTGGCCTTTACTATACTACTTTATAGATTATAATCTTCCTATGGTTCACACTTGGAAAGCCTGAACCCCAACACCACCCCCTCCCTGACAAGAAACTTCTCACATTTAACCTTACAGGGCTACTCAGACATGAATAAAGTCAAACAGAAATGTGAAGCTGAGAATCCAAAATAAATCCAAGTCAAAAATGCCTGGTGTATGTACTTCTGTAGCCCATGGCAGAACTGCATGCTCTTTGGTCAGAGACAATATCAACTGTGTTCTCACAGCACTGTGTTCTTTCCTTCTCTACACAATGTTTGTATGAGTCTTTGTTTGACAATCAAGGAATATTTATTGAGGGCCTACTACCTGTCAACCAACCATTTAGGCGCTGATCAGTGACTTAGTGATGTGCTACTGTCCCCCCACCAGCCTGGACTGTAGGCACCAAGGGAAGACTTACTGCTGCCTTTTTGATCAGTGTGCTATGCAACCTAACCGAGTGCCTGGCACATGGCAGGGACTTAATAAACATTAGTTGAATGTGAGAGAGGAGAGAGGAGAGAGAAGGAGCCAGTTTGTGTGTGTAAAGGCATTAGGGCTTTTCAACTGCCCAAACAGGCCTTACCATCCACCAGAAATCTGATGACTTCTGAAAGGCCCACATGCCATGCACAGCTGTAGGCACAGCAGCTGTCATGCAAAGTAGCCAAGGTCCAGAACTAGGAAGAAGAATTCAGCCCTTTGTTTCTCTCTGCCTTTCTCATAACCAAAATGAGGTTAGACCCAATGTCAATCTTCCTGTCAGCTGTATGTCTTCAACATCTGGCTTTCAGAAATACTAAGGTAACATTATCTCTGAGTAAAATTTGCACTGATTCACTCTATGACATCACTGCCTGAAAAGATATTATTTAAATGTCTGAGGTCACACATAGGCCTAAATAGAACTGAGTTAATATAAAAAGCTCTCCATTTCAGGTCTTTGCAAGCTATAAATTAGCTTTCAGAGTATTTAATTTAAAAATAAAAAAAGGTTTGACTCATTATTTAAACTCTCCAAACTTTTAGGTCACAGACAGCAACCAGACCTCTTTTATGAGTAAGCTGTCCAAAGCAGATGGTACGCTCCAAGCCTGAGCTTCATGCTAGTCCTTTAATTAAAACCTAGGATTCAGTGGGTTATATGCTTCTCACAGTAGTTATGTGAACAATAATGGGATAAGAAAAAATACCAACTATTTAGCTCAATACGAAAAACAACAATCTAGGCATGAAATATATAAATTCATCTATCAACTAATAAAACAAACAGTTTACATTCAGGTTTTTCCTCTATATCCAATTAAATGGACACAACAATAAAAGATAAATAAGAAAGCAAAAGAGTAGTGAAATACATTCTGAAAATGCACAAACTATGCCAAACAGAAAAGCCTTAGGGTGAGGTTGCTATTAAGCTACGAATGTTTAAATACATAAATATGCTAAGTAGCACAGTAATGAGTCCCCACTTCCCAATCTCCAGCCCATACAAATCACAACTCTTGTGGAAAGGCTGATAACATAAATTATAAATAAAATACATACTAAATAAAGGAGCAAATAAAATTTTGTGAAGAGTTTGCCAACAATCAAGCACTAAGCTTAATATCAAAAAAATCCCAATACATGGTTAAAACAATTAAAATAAGACCTGGAATTTTCTAAACTCCGATCATCTGATTCAGAATCAAAGTATTTAATGACCTTCAGTGTAGTCAGCACAAGGCCCACCAACTAGCCGGCCCTTAGGGAATTAGTTATGTTTCCATTATGCGGCGAAATACAAAGAACGAGTAATTGAAAAATCAGAATGGTCTTCTTGCCTACATTTTTTAAAGATTAATTTTAAAATCTTCCAAAAGCAAGTACTTTATGCTTTTATTTACAGCTGGACTTCATACTTTGCAATGTTCTGGACAAAGAACAGATTCATTTGTTGGGATGATTACAAAAAGTTACTTAAGACCTAAGATAGGCTAATAATAATAATGTACTTGTATTAATTTTAAAAAATAAGTAAACAAAAACAAAACAAAACAAACAACAAAAAAAAAACTACCAGACCGTGCCTTGGCACATATTCAAACTGGGCTCTATAAAAGACTCCCAAATTCACACTAAAATTCTTCATTTAAAAAAAAATTCCAACAACGTATCAGCATGCCAGCTGGAAATATGATATAGCCGACCAAACTATTTTCCTACCCAGAAATTTAACCCCCCTTTGTAAATGCGACTACACTTTACCTTTTGTTCAAAAACATCATAAATCATAAAACTATGAGAAGTGACTCAAAACGACAAAGCAGCAACCGCCCCCCCCCCAACTTGCACGCCGCCCGCAGCATCCTTCGGGGAGTCCCTGCCCTCCGGGCCCGGCCTCTCCCCTCCCGGCCGGCGCTTCCCTCCCCCCTCGCTGTCTCCTCCCGGTCTCTCCGCTGTCCGCGGAGCGGGCTGTCAGCCGCGGCCGGAAGGCGGAGGCCGCCCGTCGAGCGCGGCGCGGCCCGACTCTGACGTCCGCCGGGCAGAGCCCGCACCCGGCCGCGCCGCGCACTTTCGCCGCGCGAGCGCTCAGGCACAAGTTAGCAAACAGCCCGAGCGGCAGCCGCCGTGATTCAGCAGCGGGGCCGGCGGTGATCGCGGGCCGGCCGGGCCGAGTCCGAAAAAGGTCACCAAGACACCGCGGGCGCCGCGCCCGGCCCGCGATCCAACCCGCGACCCGGCCGGCGGCAGCGAGACGGCTGCTGCTTGCGGGCCGGGCGAGGGCAGCCAGCCGGCCGGCCGGCCGGCAGGTCCTACCTTTCCGGCTCTTGGGGGAGCTCCGCTTGCTCCGGGCGCTGGCTCGCTCTTCCTCAATCGCAGCTGCTATCTCGGGGTTGTCTTCCCCATTGTACCAGACCAGGAGCTCCTCGCCCGGCGCGATTGGCTGTGGGGAGAGAAGAGACAAGCGCCGGGCCAATCAGAGAAGAGGTTGTTGGCAGAGGCGGGGCAACGCCGCGGCGGGCGGGAGCGGCACGCCGATGGCAAACAGCTGTCGGGCGGGCGCGCCTCAGGCCGCGCGCGCTGAGGTGGGGCGGGGGAGGTGGCTCCACGAAGGAGGGGGCGCTTCCGGGAGGAGGAGCTCACGGCCGCGCGCGAGGAAGGGGCACGGCCAGGAGGAGGAGTCTATAAAACGGCCGCGCGCAGAGGTTCCTATGCTGGGAGGCGAACGTGGCCGCGCGCGCGGGGCTCCTACCGAGGAGGAGGGGTTCACGGCCGCGCGCCCTGCCAAGAGGAGGCTCCCTCGGTCACGCGCAAGGGGCTCCGCAGGTGAGAGAAGCCCAGGGCCCAGGGCCACAGACTGGATGGAAGACAGACCTGCCGCGGATCGCGGAGGCTCTCACTCAATCCCCAGGCGCTTCCACATCTTTCTGCTCCAGTCCCCGAATCCCCCACGCGAAGAGAAGACACAACACGGAACCTCTTTCCGCACAAAATCCAAGTGAATGAGAAATTTAAAGCACAATTAACAAGCAGGTGGCAGCACATGATTCTGATTCCAAAAGCAAGCGAAGCCTGGTGTCGCGCTGCAAGTCTACCCCTGCCCCGCTGCTCACGTCGCAGAAAGCTAAGAGGAGGCAGCGCAGGACCGTGCGCCGCTCTCCTCGGGTCAGCGAAAGGGAATTACGACTTTTAAACAGAACGAAAGCCTACAAATACCACCCAGGTATAATGTTCCTAAAACTCAGAATTCTTCACGGTCAGTGTGACTGGGAGAGCAAGGACACACCAGTAGATTACACCTATAAGACCCTAGCGGCGCGGGGGTGCTGAGTGGAGAGATGAGCCTCTAAACAGAACTGAGGAAAAGAGCTTCTTGGTTTCTCTCTCAGGGACTGACCTGATCAAAAAGTTGCAAGAATAACAATGCAGGTAAAATTCCATCTGAAACCCACTGAATAAATAAGAATTCATGACTCAATACTAACATAAATGACTGAACAAGTAGATACATACAAAGGAAAATTCTTCCTTAAAGTCCATCACAAGGGATCATAGTGAAAAGAGAGAATCAGAAACTGCCCCTTGGCAATGTTCGTTGTAACAACTGATTCAGGGAAGACTCACCAATGGTGAAAGTTTAAGGAGTAGCACAATTTGCATAGGCTCAAAATATCTCCTAACAAAATATCTATTAATTACAAGGGGGAAATTGTGTTTTCCTAATGTGACAAATGAATATCACATACCTCTTGGAAGGATACACAAAGAACATGACATATTGCTTTTGGGAAGATTTATGCCCAAAAGACGTAAATGGAATTTAATCATGATGAAACCAAAGACATTCTATAAAATAGCTATTTCTCCTTGAAACTGAAAAGTTAGCAAAGACTAAGGTATTGTCCAAGCTAAGGAAACTTGATATGATAACTGAATACAACAGTATTCTTACAATGAAAACAAGTAGAACAGTTGACAACATTTGAGTCAGGAGGACGGATTAAGATATTGTCTCAATGCTAGCTTCCTGATTTTGATCATTGCACTATGGTTATGTAAGAGAATAATCTAGGTATTTTGTTTTGCTTTGTCTTTTTTTTTTTAAGGGGAGGGAAATTCCATCTAAGATGTCAACAAATAACTCCTCACGCGAATATAACTTCTAGTATAGATAAAGTCCTTAAAAACAAGTTACTATTAAAAAAGATAGTGCACCATAATCAAGTGGTATTCATCCCAGGAATGCAAGGTTAGTTCAATATACAGAAATTGATAAACATAATTCATCACATCAATAGACTTAAAGAATCATATGCTTATCTCGAAAGATGCAGAAAAAGCATGACAAAATACAGCAGCCATTCATGCTCAAAACACTAGAAAAGCCAGGGATAGCAGGAATATACCTCAACATTGTAAAAGCTATATATTTAAACCTAAAGCCAACATCATTCTAAATGGAGAAAAATTGAAAACCTTCCCTCTAAAAACTAGACAAAGATGCCCTCTTTCACCATTTCTATTCAACATAGTCCTTGAAAGTCTAGCCAGAGCAATTAGACAGAAGAAAGAAATTAAAAGGATAATAAAAGGAAAAGAAGAACTCAGACTATCCCTATTTGCCAAAGACATGATTCTATATTTAGAAAACCCAAAAAACTCCACCAGAAAACTTATTAACGAATTCAGCAAAGTAGCAGGACATAAAATTAAAACCAAAAATCAAATTGCATTCCAATACATCAGTGATGAATCAACTGAAATGAAAGGGAAATTAGAAAAACTATCCCATTCACAATAGCCTCAAAAAAATAAAACATTTGAGACAATCTAACAAAAGAGATGAAATACCTCTACAATGAAAATTACAGATCACTAAAGAAATTGAAGAAAACCCTGGAAGATGGGAAGATCTCCCACATTCCTGAATAGGCAGAATTAATACTATCAAAATGGCCAGACTACCAGAAGCACTATATAGATTCAATGCAATTCCTATTAAAATTCCAATGACATTCTTTATAGAAATAGAAAAAGCAGTCACGAAATTCATTTGGGAAAATAAGAGGCCCAGAATAGCCAGAGCAATCCTTAGTGAGAAAAGCAAAGCAGGAGGCATCACAATAGCAGACCTTAAGTTATAATACAGAGTAACAAAAACATGGTATTGGCACCAAAATAGACATGAAGACCAATGGTACAAAACAGAAGACACAGAGACAAACCCACATAAATACAGTTACATCATGTTAGACAAAGGTGCCATAAACATACATTGGAGAAAAGACAGCCTATTTCAACAAATGGTGCTGAGGAAACTGGAAATTCATATAACAAAATGAAATTAAACCCCTCTCACCCTGCATAAAACAAAACTCAAAGTGAATCAAGGACCAAACTCAACTCAAAGTGAATCAAGGCATTAATTAGACCAGAGACACCCCACCCACTAGAAGAAAAAGTAGGCCCAAATCTTCATCATGTCGGCTTAGGAACTGACTTCCTTAACAAGACTCCTAAAGCACAAGAAGTAAAATCAATAAATGGATCCAGGCGAGGTGGCACACACCCGTAATCTCAGTGGCTTAGGAGGCTGAGCCAGGAGGATTGTGAGTTCAAAGCCAGCCTCAGCAACAGTGAGGTGTTAAGCAACTCAGTGAAACCTGTCTCTAAATAAAATACAAAATAGAGCTGGGGATGTGGCTCAGTGGCCAAGTGCCCCTGAGTTCAATACCTGGTACCAAAAAAAAAAAAAAAATTTCCAGGATAGATAAAGAACTCAAAAAACTTAACAACAACAACAACAACAAAAAAAAAAACACATAGAAAAATCAATAAATGGGCAAAGGAACTGAACAGACACTTCACAGAAGAAACAAATATATGAAATATCGGTCAACAAATATGTGAAAAAACGTTCAACAATTCTAGCAATTAGAGAAATGCAAATTAAAATTAATTCACTGGCATTCCATTCACTCTAGTCAGAATGGGAATTATCAAGAATATGAGTAATGAGAGCTGGGGCTCAGTGGCAGAGCGCTTACCTAGCATGTGTGAGGCACTGGGTTCAATCCTCAGCATCTCATAAGAAGATAAATAAATAAAGTAAAATAAAGGTATTGTGTCCATCTACAACTAAAAAAATTAATAAAAAAAATACAAGTAATGATAAATGTTAGTGAGGATGTGAGGAAAAGCGTACACTCATACATTGCTGATTGGACTGCAAATTGATGCAACCGCTCTGAAAAGCAGTATGGAGATTCCTCAAAAACCATGAAATGGAACCACCATTTGATCCAGTTATCTATCCCACTCCTTGGCATATACCCAAAGGATTTAAAATCAGCATACTATAGTGACACTGCCACATCCATGTTTATAGCAGCTCAATTCACAATAGCTAAACCATGGAACCAACCTAGGTGCCCTTCAATAGATGAATGAGTTTAGAAAATGTGGTATATATACACAATGGAATATTACTGAGTCATAAAGAAGAATGAAATTATGGCATTTGTCAGTAAATGGAGACTACCATGATAAGTGAAATAAGTCAATTCCAAAAAACCAAAGGCCAAATATTCCTTCTGATACACAGATGCTAACTCACAATGAGGGGTGGGGATAGAAGTTCACTGGATTAGACAAAGGGGAATAAAGGGAAGGAAAGGGAGGGAGGAGAGGAATAGGAAAGACAAAAGTAGGATGAATCAGACATGACTTTCTTATGTTCATATATGAACATACAACCAGCGTAACTCCATATCATGTACAAACACAAGAATGGAAATTTATACTCCATGTATGTATATCAAAATATATTCTGTCATGAATAACTAAAAAGAAAACAAGGAAATGTTACTTTGTTGCATTCTCCACAGAATTCTGTTTATATAGTTCAAATTTCAAAATAGTCTAAATTCTTCAAAATATAAGAACCAGCCACTGTTTCTTTGGCTCCCCCAAGAATGGCTTAAAATCTGCCACTTTCTTATCTTTGAATCAATATATTGTGTGAGGCACTGGCAGTGTTCACTTTTCTTTTTTCATGAATCAGTTAAACCTAAACCAAAAAATCTAATTTAATAATCACAAATGCCTTTGGGCACCCTAATGAGCTAATGGGTTGTGTTTACTTTTCAAAAGTAAATTCCAAACATACTTCATTTATCTTCTTGTTACAAGTCACAAATTTATGAACATGGTGGTATTAAATAATATTTGAAATGCCTAGGGTTCTAGGAAGTAGTTAATTGTTAAACAAAATCAAAAGTAAAACAAGAACACAGAAAGGAGGAGTGAGGACAACTGTGTTCTTGACATATTCCTCCCCCAAAAAAGAGTAACCAGGACCCTGGTTGAAAGCTGACAGTTTCGGGGGATCACCAGGAATAAGAGTGCCTGCCTCCAAGGCTCCTCCACCGGGCCTGGGCAGACTGCCTGCTGCACTGGCTACTTCACGGGGGAGCACGCCGGTACCCCCAGTTACTCTTGTTGCTGCAAAACACACACTATGAAAACACCAGAATCCTATTGCACCTCAAATCTAATACAAAATTTTTAAAAGGCTATTGGGCTGGTGAAGCGCTTCCATCAAGAGAAACAACAACCTGATTACAGAATAGCTCTCAAAACTGTCTGAACAACTGAGATGTTATTATACTATGGAGCAATATACTTCCCAACTTTGTATTAAAGCAGCTACACAGCATTCCCTTATGAAGAAGGGAATATATATATATATTTTAAATCAAGCATTGTTTTCTTCTGTACTATGCTGTTTTCATTTCTGCACTCCTTAGTATTTTCAAGATTTACACAAAGTTCTATCATTATAAGTACAAATCCACATTTTTAAAAAATGAAGTTGAAAGACCAACCAACCTTTTTACATACAATTATGCTTCATTTAAGGATGAGATACCTTCTGAGAAATGTGCCATCACGCAATTCCACTGCGGTTCAAACCTCACAGAGTGTGCTCACACAAACTCAGGCACTGTGAGGTCACTGACTAATGCAATCTTATGGAACCCCCATCGTATGGCGGTGCATGATTGTACTGTATTTTGTTGTTAAAGAAAAAATTAAAACAACAAGACTTCAAACCCTTGCAACTTTTCCTTTGGATTCAGGCAGTCTTTATAAAATCAAGCACTCTCTCTTTTCTAAACATCGGCATATATAAACCTGAAATTTACCAGACCAATTAGGAAGAAGCAAGGGTCCCTAATATTCCTGATGCTAGATCAAATAAGAAAACTGCTCCAGAATCATTGGAATACCCAAATTCATACACACTTATCCACCCAAAATCCATTCCCCAACATGATCTATAAAAGTCATGGATCAGATCTCAACCTCAAACCTTGAACGAGTGAACTGAGCCTAAGACTAAAACTCATACTTCTCTCGCTGTGAGTCATGAGGCCCCACCTGATCTGGCCCCTGCCCACATCACCTCCTACTATTCCTCTCCTTCCTCCAGTCACATCAGCCTTTGTTCTGTTCCTCTAAAAAAACAAAAACAAAAACAAAAAACAAAACTACTAGTGTATTCCTCCTTCAAGGCCCTTTGCTTCTACCAGCCCCTCTTCCTGGATCGCTCTCCTCCAGATCTTTGTGTGGCTGTTTCCTTTCTAACCAGGGATGGAATTCAATGTCTTTCTCAGGAAGCCTTCCCTCGCCCGGAAAGCCAATCAGCCTCTCCCTACATAGTCCTCCACAGCATCTGCCTGTCCTCAGAGCACTTGCTTCGATCTGGAATGATTCTATCGACTTCATTATTTGTTTATCTGCCTCCTCCCCCATAAAATGGAAGTTCTCTGACACTAGGACCTTGTCTGTTCTTCCCACTACCCTAGAAGAGTACCCGTCTGCAGTGCACACTCAGTATCTGTCAAACTACTGAGTAGATGAATAAATGGATAATAGGCTTGTTAACTTTGAATAATTTTTAATCAAAGTACCACAAAACTAGTGTTGAGATTTCCCAATTATCTGGGTAGAATAAGATGAGAAGGTGATACAAAGCCCATAAAACATCACACGTAATTCATTCACAACACCTACCCCACAGAATGCTTAATCCAGTTAGACGACCACCAGTAAGGAATCTGAAAGGTCTCATGAACACTTGAGTAAATATCAAAGGTCAGGACTGGGGGAGGTCTGCAAAGATCAGAACTGTGTTATTTCCGACAAATTTAGGTAAAAATGATAGTAGCACAACTAGTTACTTCGCATTCTGAGTAATTATGTTGGCCTAGCTACTACATATTGGATTGCTTCATCTTTACAACAGGTATATGAATTAGTATTGCAGGTTGAGTATCCCTAATCCAAAAATCTGAAATCCAAAATGCTCCCAAAAGGGAATCTTTTAGGGTGCCATCATGATACCACAAGTGGAAAATTCCACACCTGACACCTCATGTGACAGGTCATAGTCAAAAGGCAAGCACACTAAAAATATTGTATAAAACCACCTTCTGTTTATGTGTATATGTGTATATGAAACAAATGAATTTTACGTTTAGAAGCATGAAAATGGGGGTCCCATCCCCAGGTTATGCAGATATATACAGATACTCCAAAATTCAAAAATATCTGAAATTCAAAACACTATTAGTCCCAAACATTTCAGACAAGGAATACTCAACCTGTACTACTACCTCCATCTTGACGAGTGAGAAAACTAAGAGGAATGAAGGAACACCGCATGCCACACGTCTAGAAGCCAACATTTGCTCACTAGGTGGTTTGCTCTAGAATTCCCACTCCTGGCACACACCACATCACCTCAGCAAAAATGACAGCTGTCATTAACAGCCCTTAGTTACTGGGTGCTCCAGCTGTATCCATGTTCACCCAGGTGCTCATCACCACAGCTCTGTGACCTGTATCTGACCAGGAGTGAGCTAGGGCACCAAGAAAGGACATGCGAAGGCCACAGAGCTAGGGCACCCTGGCTCGCCGTGCCCAGGCGGTGTGGCCTCGGAGTTCACCCTCCCACCCACTGCCCTGTGTGGCTTGTCAACATCCCTGCAGTCTAATGTCACTGCAGGTCTGCTCTTGAAGAGAACAGACTTTAGTTTGAAGCCTAAAGAAGTAACTGCAGGGTCGTCTACCTCCCAGGGCTCGTGTCCTTCAGAACCTCATTCCCACGGCCTTGACTGACTGACGCACAGTCACCTCCTGGCCTACGTTCCATCTCCACCAAGATTGCACCTCACAGATTCAACCAGGTATCTCTCACTTAAGTAAATTTGTGAAACAGAATGAATTCTTGAATCACATTTAGAATCCAATTTCAAATCCAGTGGAACAAAACTGCAGTAATACCTACCAGAAAAGCATGCTGCTATAATCCAGCAGAAAGAAAACAGGAAGCAAGATTTCAGAAGTCACATAGGAGAAAGTAACACACACATACAATTCCTACAAGGGCTAAATGCAAGGCCATGGGTATAAATGAAGTAACAGGCCCTCCAACTGGGTAGCAATGTCAGGAAAAAATGTAGCAGAAAAAAAACTGAACGGTTACCTGCTTAATGGCCTAGCGCTGTCCCAGTGACAAAACTCGACGTGCAAAGCTGGCCTGTACCTTCAGTGTTTGCTCATCAAGACTTATCAACTCCATAGAGACAATTATTTTTATGGACTGTCCCTCAGTCTATGATATATTTAATGGAAGCAAGTGAATAAAAACAAGCTTTCCTTACAGCAACTTTAGCAAAGCCATCTATTCCAAACAAGCAACAACCATCGGCCTCTACAACCTCAACATTCCACCTTGGAACAATTCCATGCATGACGTGCAGACCTGTCTTCCCCAAGACCATGACCAGTGAAAACCAGGAAAGAGATGCAGTCTTGTTGGTGGCACACCTGACTTGCCCCTTCTTACCTCAGTGATTAATGTCTCCCAATAAAAATGTGGCAAAAAAAAAACATGTTCTGTGTAATTTCTATTCTGAATAAAACTGAAGGAAAGGAAAAGCCAACCCAAGGCTTCATTGCTTCATTTACATTGAAGACTATGAACATATGAAGACTTTGAACCCAGCACCACCACAACTATTGATGGCTTCTTACAGTGGAATAAATCTGCCAGTCAGCCAGTTCCCGTGCGTCCTGGGAGGAGGGGAGCAGCTGCCCCACGCTTTATCCACAGTATCCAGAAAGACACAGCATGTGATTACTCAATCCCATCTTCGTGTTTAGTTAAGTTCCCTGGCATACATGAAGTAGAGGCAACCATTTCTTTACCATAGGACCTTGAGTGTACAAATGAACCACCTCAAATATAGTCCTTTCAAGGTCAGAAAAACAGTTATTGTCAGTCACAGCTAAGGACCACATTTAGAAAACGCATGCAGAGTCACTTGCAGTAGACTATTCCAACACTGTTACCTTTAAAGTTTTATAGTAAATGGCTCTGTTGATTTCCAGTGGAAACAAATTTTGCTCCTCTCCTGAGCAAGCCCAGTTCACATATCGCAGCCAGTTCCCCTTCTCCGGATCAGTGGCATCGATGCACATCCATCCCAAATTCGGGTAATATACCTTGGAAATGAGGGAAAACAACCTTTGTTAAGATAGGAGTACTTAAAAGTATCTCCATGTTCAACGTTTAAAACAAGTCTTCCTCATTACACACAACTACTCTATAAAGCATTTCACAGAAACAAAATAAGTGACAGAGAAAAGAAAAATACCAAGTAAAAACTGAAACTCAAAACCATGTGATTCCCATTATTTTTTTATTTGGGCTTGCTTACTTTTTCCCCTAAACAGAAGGAGCTATGTAACTAATATACTTGATGATCACCAAAAGCTTTGCAAATACATGCATAAAGGAAGTGACAACTACATTCCTGAAAATGTGACTTAGGACTGTGAAGCTTGAGGAGTGCTGAGCAGGGCAAATCCCCATACTCTCAGGGTTGCTCTGCCACTCCAGCAGGGGGGCCTGGCCCTGTGGGTGACCCAAGTCAGTGGGTCTTTTTCTGGCAGGATTGACAGGGACTTCAGGAAGTAAACACACTCTGTGAACCAATCACGAGGGTGATGGAGCATGATGCTCTGCAAACTCAGCCAGCTCTTACCACTCTATCCAGGGCTCCTGTCAGGACTAAGGTGCCATGGGTCACACTCTAGGAAATATCAATGCCTTCCAAAAACATACTGAAAACTCAGCCCTTCTTTGAGAAGTCACATCAAATCCACTCTTGCAGGAAGCGTCCCTGCAAGACCCTTAGACAATTGCTTCCAGAGAGGCTTCCAGCGCTTAGCTAACATTCCTTCTTGTATTTATTTATTTTTTGTGGAATACCAGGGATTGAACCCAGGGGCACTTAACCACTGAGTAACACCCCTTTCTGTATTTTATTTAGAGACAGGTTCTCACTGAGTTGTTCAGGGCCTCACTATATTGTTGAGGCTGGCTTTGAACTTGTGATCTTCCTGCCTCAGCCTCCTGAGCTGCTGGGATTACAGGCATGCACCACCATGCCTGGCAACATTCCTTGGTTTTAAAGAACATCTATTTTTCAACAATTTTTCACTTTAAATTTTATATATGCAATACATGTACACATTTTATTCACCAAAACTAAACTGCAAAACACCCACTAGGCACTGAAAGAGAAACGCAGAGAGATAAGAACAAGTTTTTTATTTTCCTTTTAGGAGGAAAGAAAAGAATCTACATGCCATAACTCTTACCATGACTCCCACCATTTGCTCCTCCTCTCCTCTCCTGCCATGTGAATCACCACCCATAGCTGCACTGTTCCTTCCAGAACAAAGCACCAGCCCCTACCTGATGTCCTGGAGGCCTGGCAAACAGGGTGCAGCACCCACCCTCCTGGGCAACTGCCGGAGCTCATCAGGCACGATGCTCCGCTGCTCCCCGCTTCCTGCTTCCTCACTGAGCCCCAGGAGGCTCATTTACTACTACTTCTTCCACCAGTCAAATGACTTTCCTTTCAAAGTCACTCAACTGCGGCCAAGATGGGCTTAAATCCAGGTCTGCAGAACCTCCAAGACCCAGAGCCGCCCTACCACCCTCGTAAAAGTGCACCCCTCCCTCCCCTCAGCACCCAGTCTTTCCACCTCACTTTTCCTACCCTTCCAGGTGCTAGATGCAGTGCAGTATCATCTGTCGCTTCACTTCCTTGTTCAGGGCCTGTCTCTCCCACTAGAGCCTCAGCACCCTGAGAAGGCATCAGCCTTTTCTCTTGTGCCAGTGCCTCCAACACCACAACCAGTGCCTGGCATACAGTAAGGTAACAATAAATGACCACCCGAGTGCATAACCATCACCATCCAATGAATGCCTACTGTGTGGTGGGAACTGTGGCAGAACCCCCTCTGCAGTCAGTTTATTTCATCATCATAAGCACCAAGGTGCATATTTTAACTGCCATCCCCCTGGGAGCTGATTCAAAACTTGACTGCTCAGAAGGCAACCACCTGCACCACTCTCAAGAGGTAACCATGTGGCATCAGGCTCCCTTGCACCTCACTGTCACACTCCCTCTCCACATTCCTCCCCTTTGAAACAGAGTAGCCTATGTGGCAAGAAACTGCATCACAATGCAAAATTCAAACTTAACACACTTTCATTTAAAATGTTTCAGAGACACACATGTTCATAATGTCTGCGGCACGGTAAAATAAGGAAAATGGGGTGCGTGGTGCTTGAGTATTACCAATCCATCTTAGTTATTGTTCACTAACTCACAAGGCATTATTCCCCGGTATACCGGAGAGAAAATGGCCCAGGCTCAGGGACAAAGCCTTGTTTTGATGTATCCCAGTGCACGTCAGGGCCTCACTGGATCCCCACCTGCATACTGGCACAGCAACCGAGATAGATCAATGGGACTGCAGAGACAGGCATGGCTGCCAGCAATCCCACAGCGTGGAGGAAGGCAGCCACATCCACCTGCCCACACAATGCGGCTCTGCTGGAACTTCCTAGCTCTCAGGTCAGCACAGACCTTTGTGAAAAGCAAGCTGTTCCAGTTGAGTGAATTCTTTCTTTGTGCATAACTCCCTGTGCTTCAAAGGGGACTAAGGCATCTTCTAAGTCACACTGGTGTGCAAAAAGAAAATACTTAATTTTATAGAAAAAGATGGACACTTCAATTTTTTTAAAATAGGAAAACAAGGAATTCACAAAGGAATACACATAGCCTAAAAACCTCATAAAAGAAACTTAATAATCAAAAAAAATTTCAAATTAAAAGTTTTCATTTATTAAATTGGCAAAAATTATTTTTTAAGAGAAAAAAACATATTGGAAGGGTTGTATGAACACATTCTCCCAAGTGCTTACAATCAGAGAACAAACTGGTATAATTGTTTTGGGTGGAATTTTAGCAGCACTTAACAAAAAAATCTTTCAATATATACACGCTCCAACCAGCATGCAAGCTTAGAGGAATTTATTTTAATGAGACAGTTGAGCAACTGTACCAACACTTATGTATAAGGCTGTTCCCAGCAGTGTGGTTTACTACAAAACCATATGGAATCAGCTCAGAAAACTACAATCCATCCATACAAAAGAGTACTAAGAAGATACTTAAAAGTTATGTAAGTGATTAATTGGATTATTTCCTGTGAGACACTGCTATACCCAAGAATTTTTTAATGTGATACATAATTTCTGTAACTAAAAGAAAATAAAGAATAAAGATAACAGGATATTGTAGAAATCTATTTATCAAGATACATAATACATTGATGACTGAATCAAGCTATTATAGAAAGAATCAATTACATGATATCATTTTGTCTTAAACATATAAATATGTAAGAAAAAATTCTTAAAACTTAATGAATAAAAACACAATAGTGGTTTTCTCTGAAAAGATAAATGACTCATAATTTTTACTTTTTTCTTGTTTAATAAGAATTGTCTACACCTTTCCTCCATTGACTTAGTAGAAACTGCATGGCAAAAGAGGGAGATGGATCGGCAGGAGCACATGCTCTTCTGAACAAAAGCCTAAGTCTGAATGAAGGTAACCAAGGCCTAAGTCAAAATCCTCCTCCTCATCATCACACAGATTTTAAAAAGCAGCAGTGCATACATAGCTTTCTCATTTTACTGAGCTTAATCTTTTTTTAATATTTATTTTTTAGTTACAGGTGGACACAATATCTTTATTTTATTTTCCTGTGGTGCAGAGGATGAAACCAAGTACTTCACGCATGCTAGGCGAGCGTTCTACCTCTGAGCCACAACCCCAGCCCCCCTGAGCTTAATCTTATACCTAGGAACTGGGATGAGAATGTGCTCTTATACAATTCCCATCTTAGTAGGTCAAAGCCTGGTTTCCAATCAAATTAATTTTAATGAATGACAAACAGAACCTACCTCCAAAATGTGATCAAATTTTGCCTCATGTAACTACAGATTACTAGACTTCAAAAGTGTCATCCGCCATTAGGCTGGAAAACCAACTCCAATTTCCTCCTTTCAGACAAAGACAAGGCAAAAACAGGACAACCTTCTATCCTCATTTAAACCCACAAATGAAACAAGATAGGCTTCATGTAAGAAGTCTATTTCCAGATCTTTACAATAACCAGGAAATACTCAGCTTAAGATCCTAAGAGAAATGTTATTACATACAATTAATGTTTTTTTTTCTGACTGAATCCACAAAACAATCCCTTTTCACAAAATAAAGTTCTGTTTATGTAGTATCAATGCCACTCTACCAAGCACCAGACTAGGGGCTTTATGTGTTATTTGTTTAACCTTCATAAGAATCTAAAGATAATCTATGAAATACTAAGTCCCTTTCTTAAATGAGGAAACTGACAATGGATTGGCCACTATAGTAATCAAGTCACTAAAATCAGAGCCAGTGTTCAAACCTGGCCCCCTCATTTCTTCCTATACCCTACACTAAAATAAAACGGTATGTAAACAAGGGAATGGAGAGAAAGGTTCCCTTTTGTCTTGAGGGGCGCTCTCAATTTACTTCCTGTCTTCCCTCCTTACAGACCCCCTTGAGGTCTCTGACCTCCTATGTTATCTAGGCCTACCTCCTTTCTGCTTCCATCACTAATCAGGAAGCAGGCACCAACTTTGTGGAGTGTCAGTCTCATACCACCCAATTTCCATTCAATTTAATCCGGTCATTTTGAAATTATCATAAAATAATCTAAACTCAAACTTTAGTGCACATACCAATTTAAATACACATTCAAATTTATTTCTTTATATCATTTAGAGAAGATGTGCAGCAAACTTTATCATTTGTTACTTTTTAAGTGCATTAATTCACTTTGTAAATTTTTGAAAATTCTCATTCATTTATGCAAACATACCATCATTCACATCTTCAACTGTTTACCTGCAAGGAACCAACTAACTGTGACAGAAATCACTCCCAGAATTTAAGGCAACAAATAAATCTTATATTGTATCAGCTCTCTTGGTGAAAGAGTCTGTTTTCATGGGAACCAGCTCCCCAGAGTCAGAGTCCACAATAGCAAAGCCATCTCCCTCCACTCTTCTCTGGACCCCTTGCAGCACAGGA